GAGGGGGCTGACACCCTTCCACTTGTCGTTCCTCCCCCATAATCTGCATTGGCTTGCAGGTCCGTGCACCCTTACGAAGTGCCCGAGGTGATCGCCGTCCCCATCCAGGAAGGAAACCCCCCTTATTTGCAGTGGGTTGAAGAGAGGGTGCCTGCAGAGAAGCCAGCAGAGTAAAAGGATTCCCTCCCCCCCTGAAACCCCTTACTCAAGAGGGGAGAAAAGGAGGGGGGCATCTCTACTGCGACGGTGTTGTTCAGCATGATGATGTAGCAGCAGCAATAAAGACACCCCCTTGCCCTCCACCCCAACCCCCCCCGGGGGGGGGTCTGAAGGCAAAATCCTACAAGGTGGAAACCTGATCTGGCCTCTTTTATTCTTCTTCTGCAGCAAAGCCACCCACTTTTCACTTATCAGTCCACGGAAAAGCCACGTCCAGAACGCTGGGGAGGGCCCAGGGAGGCAGGCCGTCATCCGTTTATCTCCCGGTTGCCTTAAGGCTCATCATTTCCAGCCGGGTGTAGATTTCCTTCTGGGCAGAGCGCCTTCGTTTGGCCAAGGGTGGGTGGCGCTGCTCCTCCCAAAGGGAGCTGGGCCTGATCCCCACAGAGGCTCCCCCCCCCCACAGCTGGTGGGGTCAGGAGACTAGGTATCTAGAGGCCAGGTTTCAGTACCCCCCCCCCCGCCGCTGTCTTGGGCCCACCACGGCCCCTCCTATGGTGGGCAGGCTGGAGGGGGGCGCGCTGATCCAGGAAGCAGCCAGAAGCAGGAGAGTCTGTCTCTACTGGAAGCGGTTTTATTACTCAGAATGGGTGGGGTCGGGGGGGGCTTTGTACATAGTTCGCTTTAAGAGCAGCAGCAGCAGCCGTGGGGCACAGAAGCAGTGGCGCAGGGGGGCATCAGAGTAAGGAGGAGGGCAGACAACCCCCCTCCCTTCCACTTTTCTTTACCCTGGGGAGGGTAGAAGGAGCAATGCTTCCCCCCCTCCCCCATTGAATCCTTTCTCACCGGCCTCCTTAAATAAAACCTTTTACCTACAGACAGTAAAAAAATAAGCAGAAGTAAAACTTTTGTGCAAGAAGGAGGACACGCCGGACATCAAAAATGGGAGAGAAGCAGCAACAGCCATGAGCGGAGAGATGCTGGTGTCTTTTTCTTCCCCCCCCACTCCCGAGAAACTACAAAAGTCCACATCCATCACATGGGGAGGGGGGGGACAGAGCAGCCGCGACCCCTAAGCTCTGCCCCATGGAGGAACGTCCATCTCGGTCCCCTGGGTGGGGCTGCCCCTTCAGAGAAGGCACCTCTTCTGTCCTTCCTCCAAACCCCTTCCTGTCGCTGTGCAAAGCAAGTCCGCGAGTCCACTTTTTTTGAGCGGGGGGGTGGAAACGACAGTGCATGGCCACGTGCAGCCCCAGTGGGCTAGAAAATGCCCCCTCCGTCCCATTCCACCAAGTACTGGACGGTGCCGTCGGTGGTGACGCGGCGAGCCAGGATCCGCACGGCCTCTCCCCGCGCCAGCCGCCCCATGGCGCCGAAGTAGCTGCTGCTGGAGGGGGCGCAGAGGGCTGATGGAGTGGGAAGGGCGGTGGTGGTGGCGGCCATGGCCGTGGTCAGCTGGGCTGTGGACACCTACACTGCCTGTGTCTAATGTAGTCTTTGGCTCTGGCTACCCACAATTCTGCTTCCAGTTAGGTGCCCTTACCTTCTGCCCCATCATGCCACAGGTACAGTACATAACTATTTTATATGTACAGTACCTGTATATGCATCTTTGTGTAAAGTTCCTTAAAATGTAACTCATGTTAAAAAACAGGTCTCGCCTCTCGGGGGGCTCATGTTCGGCGGTGGCGGTGGCTGCATCGCCGGACTCGAGGGAGGTTCCTCCACTGCTGCTTGTGCTGCAAACAAAGCGGGGGGGGGGAGACATTGGCCTGGCTTCTCAAGAGATGGACCTCTTTGCCCCCCACCTACTCCAGAAGCAGCCCCCTCCCAGCCAGTGCCGCCGAGGGCAACGTGACCCTCTTAACTCTGATCTCCTCCTTCATCTCAACTGAGTTAGATGCCCCCAGAAGGATAGGTTTTAGGGTGAAAGCAACTTGGTCTACCCCCTCCCTCCCCACTTCTTCATGATGGGGGTCTCGAGAGGGCCCCACGGCTCAGGCCAGGAGGCTGGAGGGAGAAGCAGTCCAGCAAGACAGCTGTGGGTGGGCCAAGGTGCTATCATGTGGGGTTGACCTGAGCTTCCACACCCCCCCCAATTTTCAGTTTGCCCTTTTCTTTAAAGCAGGGGTCGGCAACTGTGGGCCCTTGGGAGGTTACCGGCCCGCAGATCCCGTCCGCTCTCTCGGGTCTGATCACGAGATGCGATCTTTGGAGCCACAGTTCCTCCCGGCCAGCTTGGGACAGGCACCAGCTATGGGGTGCAGGGAGGCGTCTGCTGCCCCCCCAAAGAGGAAGGGGGGCAAGCTTGCTTGGGACGAAGCACCCAGATTTCCACCCCCAACTCTACAACCTTGTTCTCTTAAGTTATAAGAGACTTCCTAGGTTATGCCAAGCTGACCACTGGCCACGAAGTGGCTGCTGGTCAGACTTGAAAGCATCCGTCTGTGTCAAACAGGGAGGCACCAGGTGAGGGACGGCGTGCGGGTGGGTGGGTGTTCATTCCCTGGGTCTCCTCCCTCTCCCCAGTTCTCCAACTCCTCCTGCTAACCCCCCATTATCCACTCACCTCAAGGTCCCTGCAGTGTTGGCTGAAGGATGGAAGGAGGCGAACATCCGGATCGGGGCGCTGTTGTGTTGGGGGAGAACCACAGAGTCAAGACCTGGAGAAAATGGGAGGGGAGGGCCACCTTGTCCACCCCACCCTCCAATCTTCTAGGGGAGCAGAGAATTGCGCTGGGAACATGGCCTCCGCTGGCCTGGCGGGGCTCCCGACCCCCCCCTCACCTGTCCTGGCAACGGGCGTCGGTGCGGCGGAAGTTGTAAACGCTGGAAGTGCCGCTGTAGCCGCCGTAGCTCTGGCTAGCGCTGACCGGGTTCTGCACCACCTCCTGCAACCAAGAGGGGAGGTTGGCTGTCGGCTGGGTGGGTGGCCTCCCCCTCCCAAAGGTTGGCGCATGGGGGGGCAGGGAACGTGTGGGGGGGTGCCCATGGCCAGGCCTCGCCCGGGCGTGCGTGGCTGACCTGAGTGAGGGCCTTCTCCAGCCTCTCCCTCTCTCGGGCGCTGCGCTGCTCCAGGGTGGGGCTCGGGGCCGGTGGCTGCCGCTGGCGCCGGTGGTGGTGCCACTGCTGCTTGCGCCGAGCCTTCCTCCGCTCGCCCGGCCGCTTCCCACGCCTGCCCTGCCCTGAAAGGAAGCTGTAAGAGACCCTCCTTATCTGCCCAGCACGGAGGGTGCGCTGGGCAGGTGGGGAACCGCCGGAGGAGGGCTGGACCCTCTCTCCCTGGCCATCTGGGGAAAAGGGGGGGGGAGGTTTGCAAGAGCAAGCCGGGCACGACATCCCCCCCACCCCATCGCTGGGGCCACCAGACCACAGCCCCTGGGTGGCCCTGGCGCATAGCAGCCCTCCCTCTCTCCCTCCGTCCCCATGCTCTGCCTTTCTTCTCCCCCCCCCGAATGAAAGGGAGGTGAAAAGGTCCCAGAACCTCCCCCCCAAATCCCCTGTGGGGTGTTTATGGAGGAAGTGCTGCTTCTCACCGGCTTTGGGAGATGAGGGGCTCTCTGCGGTCTTCGGAGCCGTCCACGATCTGGGGGGCAGGGGGCGGGAGGCGCAGGTGGAGGCCAAACAAACCTTTGCGCTTCTTGATTTCCTTGCCCGAGATGAACCTGTGGGGCACCGTGGGGGGGGAGAGGTTAAAGGGGAAAAAAATCTGGGTCAAGACAGGAAGACTGGAAGCAGAGGGTGGGAAGATGTTGCTGGTGTGTTCCTGGTGGGACAGGACCTGGTTTTTGGGGGTGGGTGGGGAGGGGGAAGCTTCCTTCGTCAAAAGGAAGGGCAGGAAGTGGCCAGCTGTCCCTCTTCCCATAGCAGAGCGGGAGGGGGAGCCTGGCTTGTCCCACTTTCCCCCATAAGACGGCTTCTTCACAACCACCCCCCACGTCCAAAACTCTTCCTCCGGAGCTTTCCAAATAACGTCGAAGCGTGCGCCCTCCCAGGGCGACTTCGGCTGGCTCTCCGGCGAACCGGGGGGAAGAAGGGGGCGCAAAGACGTGCCCCACGGACGGGATCCCGTGGGGTTATTCGTCCAAAAAGTGCCTCAGAGGCCAAACGATGTTGTGCTGGGGTGTGTGTGTATGACCTAGTCAACGCACAAAACCCACAGCAAAAGCACCCCTAATCTCTCCGCCTTTAAGCACTGTTTTTTTTAAAAAAAGGTTCCACCCCTTGGCAAGATTGTTCTTCACATAGTTTCCTATCTCTCCTTGTTTGCTTGATCATGTGGAATATGATCTCCTCTCTCCCTTCCACCCGAAGGGTTCCCACGGCCAAACAACGGGGTGTGTGTGTGTGTGTGTTTCCGAACAGAGATGTCCTGAGCCCCAACCTGCTCTTCTATCCACTTCACCACATCTGGAGGGGACTTTATGCACCCCTAATCTCTCCGCCTTTAAGCACTTTTTTTTTTAAAAAAAAGGTTCCACCCCTTGGCAAGATTATTCTTCACATAGTTTCCTATCTTTCCTTGTTTGCTTGATCACGTGGAATCCGAATCCTCCCAAAAGCAGCTGCTTCACCTTGGAGGAGGAGAAACACACGGCGGGCCAGGAGGTTCCCCCCCCCAACCCGGACTCTCCTGTCTTAAAAGGCAGGCTTTTGGGGGAACCACTCAAATCTTGAAGGGTTACCCCTTTTGCCCTTCCTCTCAGAGCCTTTCCTAAGGGGGCTGAGCTGGAGAGCAGGGGGAGCCACGGGGGGGGGGCTCGAGGCATGGCACACACAAGAGTGCCTGGAGGGGGCGCTGATGAGCTTTATACCTGTCCTTGTGGCCGGTCAGGGCGTTGAGCAGCTGGCTGTAACGTTCCCCTTTCGGTGTGTCAGAGAGCTGCAGAGAAAGGAAGATGGTCGGTCAGGCTCAGTTAGGGGGAGATCCTGAAGACCCCCCCTCCCCTGCGAGGCTGTTTTTTTTTTCTTCGTGCCCCTCCCCAGACTCCTCTCTTCTCTATGGACCCCTTCTCCCCCCCCTCCTCCTCAGCACATAGTTCCCAGGCAAGCCCCCCCCCAAAAAAAACAGCATTTTGGAGTGAGTCCCCAGGGATGGGCAAACAGCAGAGGACCCCTTGATTCTTCCCCCCCCCTCGCCCCGACACACACAGCGAGGCTGTGCTTAAACAAACCAAGCCCCTCTCTTCCAGGCGACTTTCTCACCTGATTTGTCTGGCAACATATGTACCGTTGGGGGGGGCAACATGTTTCTGCATTTGGGCATTGGGGGGGAAGAGAGATGGGGCTGGGGGAAAGCNGCAACGTATGTGCCGTTGGGGAGGGGGCAACCTGTTTCTGCATTTGGGCATTGGGGGGGAGGAGAGATGGGGCTGGGGGAAAGCTTTGTGTGTGTGTATAGGGGTGGTGGGTCTGGGGAAGGGGATGCAGGAACAGCCTCGGCTTCCTTTACGAAGCCCACGGGGGGTGCGTGTGTACAGGATGGTCCACACCATCTGTGGTTCACACATCGCGACCCAGCTGGGAGCGCACAAGGAAGGTCAGAGCTGTTTGCTCCCCTTCCGGCCGGCCACGATCTCACCCCACCCCACCCCCCCAACAGGCCCACGGGCTCACCTCTCCGAGGAGCAGACTGTCCCAGTTCTCACTGGCAAAAGGCAGGATCTCCCGCTCAAAGTCAAAGTATTTCTTCTTGCAACAAATGCTCAGGTGGTAGAGGATGAGGTGGGCCACGTCCACCCTGCCGGGAAAGGAACGGTCAGCATGTGGGGAGCTCAGCCCCCTTGCTTTGGGGCTAAGCACCCACCATCATAGGCCCTTCCCCCCATGCTGTTTGGGGGTGGGTGGGAGTCAGTTCCTTTCCCCCACAATTTCCTCTTCTGTACCAGCCACTGACCCTACCATGTGAATTTTTTTTTATTTTTTTGCTTCGGTTCTTTTTATTTCCTGAAAACAGTTTTGCCCTGCCTTTCTCTTTTAAAAAGGCCCAAGGCGATTTTTTTATTTCCTTAAAAAGACAATACTTTTAGTGATGTTAGCCACCATTATATCCTTGTTTTCAACTTTAAACATTGTTTTTCTTTGCTGCAAGGCGGGGTAAAAACATTTTGAACAAATAAAATAAGCAGGTGGGTGGGTTTTTCATGTTGACTTTCCCTACAGAAATGCAAGCTTAAACCTTGTTTAGACTTGGAAGGGATATCAAAAATCAATCATACAACACCCTCCTGCCTTCTGGATGCATTGCCAACAGGAATAACACCATCTAAAATGCACTTCCTGGAAAACTGGAACGCCTTTTCTAATTCATTGGAAAGGAGTTCCGCCCACTATCTTCATTTGATTGATTAAAGATGGTAGCAATATTTTTTACATTACTCTTCCAGGAACCTCTGCAAACAGGCGTGGGACTTAAGTGAGGGCAGCTCTCCCTCTCCTTGTGACAGACGTCAATGGGAGCACCAGGCAAAAGGGAGATGCTTTAAGGGGGTTTTGGGGGGGGGCAGCACCCCTTGCTCAGGCCCCCCCTCCCCCCCGGACTCACCATCTCAGGGGGAGACGCCGGACGCTCTCGGGGCCTCCCCGGCAGACGCAGCACTCGAAGATGTAGAACCTGCCAGAGACCCAGAGAGGAAGAGGCGTTGGCCAAGCGGGGAGACCTTTCCCCCCACCACCACCCTATTCCTATCCCGCTCGTGGCCGGCTGTTCCTCCTCCCAGCCTGGCCCAGCCAGGGGCCCACCTCACCTGTCCCCATAGAGCAGGGGCTTGCTCAGGCACTGCGTGCAAGCTTCATGGAACCACTGGGCACACAGCCGGCACTGCAGCATCTTCAGATTCCACCTGGACCAGAAGAAGGGAGACAGGAAGGAAAAAACAAAGGGGGTGTCCGTGGTGGTGTTGGGAGAGAGGGTTTACCTTGCCCCACTTCAACTCCCACCGGCTGAGCTCTGAACTGGTCTGGCTGAAGAATCCAGTTGGACCTAGAACCTGGTGCGGCTGGGAGGGGACAGGCAGGGAGCCCCGAGCCGCAGCCTCCGAGTCCCCCTTCCTTCCTCTTCCTCACTAGCCGCCTGGACATGCTCCCCTCCCTGCTTCGTGGTAGACAGTTCTTCTGATTCAGGCCCCCCCCTTCCCCATCCCATCGTCGTCGTCCCCCCCCCAACACAACCGGGGCACAACCGACTCACTCTCCGGGCCCCCCGCAGTAGCAGTAGCATTGCTGCCGGTTGGTCAGATGCTCAGCGTCCCATTCGAGCCCTTTCAGCTGGTAGGGCAGCACCAGCTTCATCCCCAGCGTGTCTTTGGCATAGGGGCCTTTCTTGAGGGCCCCCCCTCGCTGTGCACAGAGAGAGAGAGAGAGAGAGAGAGAGAGAGAGAGGATCATTTCAGTGGAAAGGGGGGGAAAGTTTTGCTGGGCCTCCAGTTCAAAAGGTGCTGCTCACTGAGGACTAGTGCTTTGAGTCCCCCATTCTAGTCTAGCACGTTAATCACCATGCAGGGACTTGCAGGGAAAAGGGTTTGTGATGGGATCAGGAGAAAGGGTGCTTTTTGCCCAGTTGGCCACCCTTGGGACCTCCTCCCCCCCCCCAGGTCCAATGGTGCAGCTGGCTAGCAAAGAAGTTGAGCGGGGCTCACCCCCCCCGGATGCCCCCACAGAGCCCAAACAGCGATTGGTGCTTCACCCAAGAGTGGTGTGCGTAACCGGGGGGGGGGGGAACAAAGGGGGGGCGGGCC